AGTAGATAGATAGATAGATAGATAGATAGATAGATAGATAGATAGATAGATAGATAGATGGGAGGATGGGGATAGATAGATAGATAGATAGATAGATAGATAGATAGATAGATAGATAGAGGGGGTGGACGGGGATAGATAGATAGATGGGGTGTATGGGGATAGATAGAGGGGGTGGATTGGGATAGATAGATAGAGGGGGTGGATGGAGATAGATAGATAGAGGGGTGTATGGGGATAGATAGATAGATAGATGGGGTGGATGGGGATGGATAGATGGGATGGATGGGGATAGATAGATAGAGGGGGTGGACGGGGATAGATAGATAGATAGATAGAGGGGGTGTACGGAGATAGATAGATAGATAGATAGAGGGGGTGTACGGGGATAGATAGATAGATAGAGGGGGTGTACGGGGATAGATAGAGGGGGTGTACAGGGATAGATAGAGGGGTATATGAGGATAGATGGGTGGAGGTGGGGGGATGGGTAGAGACGGGGGAGTGGGGGAGGCTGGATTCTCTCTCTGTAATTAGCGGCTCACTCTCATTAGCTGCTAAGTTGGAAATTATTCAATTAGTCATGGGCGGGAAAATGCCAGGGAGGATCAATTATCGGGGTGGGGGGGGGTGAGTCTCCCAGCGAGGCTGGTGCCTGAGCGCCCCCCCCCCCGGCTGGATTGGGGGTGCTGCAGGCTGGTGCGTCAGCCTGCGACCCCCCCAGCCCCATCTATCCCCCCATACACCCTCCCAGCCAGTCCCCATGCTGCCGCCTGCCCCTCCCCCGGCAACCAGCGATTCCCCCAGACCCATTGGTCCCCCCACCCCCATGGCCAGTCCCCATGCCCCTCCCCCGGCAACCAGGGACTCCCCCCCGCCCCATCGGTCCCCCCACCCCCATAGCCAGTCCCCATGTTCCCCCACCCCGCATCAGTCGGCCATCCCCCCCCCTCCCAGCTCCCTGCCCCCCGAATCCGGCGGCCCCGAAGAGCGCCAGGGCTTTTGCTGGGGGGCACGGGCGTGGGGGGGTCTCCTGCCCCCCTCACGCGTGACCTCACAGGGGCGGGGCGTCCCCCCGGCGGGCGGAGGGGGGTTGGGGGTTTAAAGGGAGCCGCTTCCCGGCCGGCTCCGGAGAGACGCGAGCGCCGGGGACTGAGACAGCGGCAGGAACCAGCCCCGGGACCCCCGGACCGGCCCTGACCGGGCAGCAGGTGGGGGCGCGGGGGTGAGGGAAGGAGATCGGGGGGATGGAGCGAGAGATGGGGTGTGTGGGGGGGAACCGATGGGGCTTGGCGTGCTGGGGGCAGGGGGTGG